ATGCCGTGTACAGAAACCTGAAGGAGAAATGGAAGAGAAGGGAACCAACCAGCTCAGACTGACGCACGACGGCCGCCAACCGGCGCACACGCCATGCAAGTATCGATTTTTTGTGCACTCTTGACGTTAGCTGTTTCTTGCTCTCACATTTGCTTTCCGCTTGCGTCTGACGACGACCTGGGGAACCAGCGTCGAAAATTTACGCAATAAACCCTCTTGTCCCAAAGGACCTACCTCTTTTCAATATATATATATATATATATATATATATATATATATATATGTTGGAAAGGTAATACCGACAAAGACAAGGGAGACCGGAATGGCCATTTCTGGCTTATTAGCCGTCATCAGCCAGTTCGAATCTCAAGTGATCCACACTTGGGGTTGGGTATGACTGGCTGATGAATTGTATGTTTATCATCCTCATTATACGGACAAAACGGTGGTCATGCATCAACCTCTGTGACCGTTCGTGTCTCCTTGTCCGCCACCTTTGTCACGCTGCCGTCCTGTCCGTCTCACACTCCTTGTCGCTCCGCCGCTGGGAGGTGCGATGCTTGTCACTAGCCTCGGGAGTGCTCGAAGCCAACCAACACTGTCCCTCCTCTAATTGGCTGGCGGACGCTGAGACAACGAAAGGCGCACACATGCGCTGGGCCTGAGCATCGCGAAGGCGGACACAGACAACACAACCGGCCTGGAGAGCGCGCTCGCGGCGACTGCCTACAGAGCCTTCATGCACGCACTTCCTCAGCAGGAAAGGTTGTCCAACCCAGTCCGTCTTCCCTGACTTCTGATTTGGGAACCTTTATCTGTAGACCACACACACCACTTCCGTTACTTCCCACACGAATCAGTGTCAAAGGCAACTAACTCAAAACCATGGACAGCTTCGCCTATCTAGGAAGTGTAGTGACCCTACTCCGGGCGCCTGTGTCAACGCTCGGCCTCTCGCGAATGCTTGCACGTGCGCACATGGGGCTGTCTGGCCTTCGGCCACTCGGCTTTCCAACCGGCCAATCAGATTCAAGGCCGAGTGAGATGCTTTGACGCATTCCCCGGGAGCACTGGGGACGTCGCTCACCTGCCGCCGGACGTGCCCTCGTCCGGCCGCCAACTCTCTCCAACTCCTCCATTTATTCACTACAGAATGTATTATCCTCCTCCCCCCCCCACATTGGCGTCCGCCTTCTCTTCCCATTTGATACTGGGCCTGACGGTCGTGGTAGCCAGGGTATCAAATCGCGGCCTAGCCTATCTGCGATAGAAGCACACTCTCGTGCAGGGAAAGCATCCACAACGAGGTTACCCCTCGGTTCTCCAAAGCCAGCCAGGTCTTCGTGCGGCTGCTTGCCTCCGTGGCTAACTGAGGTTGACTGTCTTGACAGTTCAGAAGATGAAGATGCGATCACTGGGACAAGAAGTTTATTTGTCTGACGTTTCGGATTCTCACTCGAATCCATCATTAGAGACATTGTCAGATAGGGGTGAAGGTGGCACCAGGAGTACAGTATTTATAGCACGTGGCTGCCGTGGGACCGTATGCGCACTGCGGTCTTGACACTGTCTTGACAGTGGGTCCAGATGGGAAAGGAGGAGCGAGTGCGGTAGGTGCTGTGAAAGTCCACCATCACTACAAACTGTAGTGGCACAGCAGTGAGAATGTGTGTACTTTGTGAGTTAAAATTATCAAGTCAAACCCCCTGTTGGAAGGAGAAGACAGAAGGCACCAGTGCGAGGGGTTTATTGTGCACAGAAGCCGGGGTTGTCCTCTCAGGCGGCAGTGGTCACTGGCGAAGCCAGGGCTGGTGTTGACTGCGTCAAGTTATGCCTGAGAGTCCTGGAGACAGTGGCGACAGCCACTTGTAGGCTCGTGGGATAAGCTCGAGTGGTGTCCAGTCAGTGTGCATTGCATTTGCCGAGGGATGGTGTCCTAGTGGCTTGGGTTGTGGTTGCAGGGGGGAAGTGCGTTCAAGTGGCCGCATGGGCGGCTGCGACTGCGCGGACGCAGGTATGTCCGAGCTGTTGGTCGTGTGACTTCGGGTCAGCGCATTTGGAACGGCTCACTGTAAAAGGGGTGAATGACCTTGAGACAGCGAGGTCCTGAACAATGACGCCAGACCGGTCATGATGGCTGCCTGCTACAAAACTAACGCATGTGCAAGTCATAGTCCCAGCACTCAACCCGCTGTGGGTGGCATGGTGGACATTGCTGGCAACGAGGGTCGAGCTGTCGTCGTCGTCGTCGTCGTCGTCGTCGTCGTAGTAGTAGTAGTAGTAGTAGTAGTAGTAGTAGTAGTAGTAGTAGTAGTAGTAGTAGTAGTACTAGTAGTAGTAGCAGCAGCAGCAGCAGCAGCAGCAGCAGCAGTGGCAGCAGTATTGGAAGCACTAGCATGATGATGACGAGGAGGAGGAGGAGGGGGAGGGCATGAAGGAAAAGGGCTTCTCAGACGAAAGAGGCCCCGTGTTTCTCTCGCGAGTTCTGACGTACCATGCTTTTCCCCACGTGTCCCATAAGGTGATTATGGCGAGTTACACATGAAAAACCACTGGATCGTGTTGACAGACGAACACGAAGCGGTAACTATCTGTTGATTAAAATGTAAAGTTTAGTTCGATATGAGTTAGATGTTTCAAGACCACGGTTATAACGTCCCTGGGCTTCGAAACGAAAGCCATGCTCGCCACGATCTTCAGCCGAACACAAAACTGATGATTTACAAGATCAGCGTCCTGACGACACTTCTCTACGGAGCGGAGACCTAAACCGTCTGCCCCAATTATGCCAAGAAACTCAACCTCTTCCATCTAAGATGCCTTCGCAGAATGCTAAAGCTGAGATAGAGAGACGGGATCCCCCACACGGAAGTCCTGGAACGGACCGGCATCCTCAGTATTCACGCCATGTTGAGTCAACTGCAGCTATGTTGGAGAAACCATCTCGTGAGGAGGAAAGACACACAAATACTGAAACAACCCTTTTTGATGATTTCGCCAGGGGTGCTCGTCGACAAGGAGGACAAAAACGGCGCTACAAGGACACTTTGTAGGACTCCCTGAAATGGCTGCAGATCAACCCGGAGACCTGGTAGGACCTCGCCCAGAACAGACTGGCATGGCGAAGAGAAATGAAGGCTGGCGCCGTCATCTACGAGGCAAATCGAATCGTCGCCGCCAAAGTCAAAATTGATGCTCGCAAGTTTCAGGCGCCTCCGCTTCGCCACTCAATCCCACCCAACGTGCCCGCTCTTTTGACGAATATTTCGCACGCGAATCAGCCTTGTCGGTCATCTTCGGACTCGTTGTACGACCGCAGTTGCTGCCTCCACATCTGCGCCTGCTCCACCCTCCAAGCCGACCGCATCAGCACCCACCCTCACCATAGTTTCTCCGAGTCCCCTTACCGCACTGAAGTCGACCACTACCATCTTCATTACCTGTGCCACAACTACTGCGGCGACGACGAACTCAACAGCCCCTACCACCACCACCACCACCACCACCACCATCACCACCACCACCACCCCCGACGCCACGACAATCACGTGTCCTCACTGCGACACCGCATTCAACTCACACGTCGGCCTGGTCGACCACTTGCGAATCCCGCGCACAGAGACTAACCTACCAGTGCCTGCAGCACCAAAATACATTTGCCGTACCGCCCTTCACTGTTCGCGCACATTCATTCACCGCAAGGGCGCATTCGGTTACATGTGTATCCATGACAGCGGAGTACACCGCAATACTGATACACCTATCACACTTGGACATGCTCCCAGTCATTTTCCCACCGCTCATCATTAAAAACAGCAGCACCATCATTACTACCACCGAAACAGACTCACCAGCTCCCCGCCTATCCTGCCCACACTGTCAAAGCACTGAACCTCACGCACCGGCCTGGTCGATAACTTACGAATCCATACGTGGTGAACCAGTACATGAAGCATCAACACACGCCAGAATCACTCGCCTCAACCGTCCGCATTACTCTCGCACATTCAGACAACGCGTGGGCTTTTTCGGTCACATGCCCATTTATGAAAACCTGCAGTAAGTCACCGCAGACACGACCACATCACCACACATTCCCCCACTAACCCATGCACCAGCATACTATACTCTTAAAGTCCAACAACAGCGGTACCTCTCATGAAAGTAGGAAGTGTGCTTCTCAGCTCCTTCTGCTGCATGTGTGATCCGAGCCTGAGACTACCACAGTGCACCATGCGCTGTGGCTTGGAAGTTCGTCAACTGATGCTTCAACTCAGTCCTCGCAGTCAGCCCAGTTGTGTGTTGAGAGGCTGACTGGTAGACTGAGAGTCAGGCTGCAAGGGCTCCTTCTTAATATGGCTTCCGTGGCACTCCCACTACGTCGGATCCTGGCCGGGTGTGGCGACACGCCTAGGGGCGGCTTCGGCCGCGCCAGCCGTCGGTCACGTTAGTGTTGGCTAAAACCCTGATTATTGTATGTTGCGGACCAGAGGGTGTGGTGGTACGTCTAGTTGCGGGTTCGGCTGTGCTAGCTACCTGCGCCTTTTCCCACCCACGGTCTTCTTGACCATGTCTTGACACCGGGTCCAAGTGGGGAGGAGGAGGGGGTGAGGTAGATGCAGTGAAAGTCCACCATCATTATAAAAGAAATCACGCGCAAGTCGCCGTGCCTGCTATCTCCCTGCTGTGCGACACACGGTGGATATTGTTGGTCACGACAGTCTTATTTCCATATAACAGAAGCAGCATATTAACCAAACCTTCTGCCCGCGACACTCTTGCGCTAGTTACTGAGGGGTAAGGAGCCAAGCGGAGTTTGCAGTTTAGCGTCGAAATATCTAGCTCCGATTTCAAACAGAGCGCACGGTTTTGCTCCATCACCGCACTCCTCTCAACAAAATGTCAGCGCTCTTTTCTTTTTCTCCCTCTGGGAGTTTGGGCTGAAACACGCACCCACAGTTCGTAGGTGCATTGCGAGGGCAGATTTTGTCTGACATTCGGGTCGTCAGACTGTCTACCATCTTTCCAGGACCAAGTTCTGCGCAAGCTCGCGCGCTATTATTGGGTCGCATTGGAGACTGTCTCGCCATGATGTGCTGAGCAGGTCGGCAATTGCGTCGGATGCGACAGTCACAGCCACGCGGGCGTTAACCGACCCTCATTTCGCTCGCAAGCGATTTGTTGAGGCAATTATTCAGACTCCCAACGGCTTTCCTTTTCCCTCACTAGAGTCGGTTAAAGGCACACAACGTGCACACTGCCACCTAAATCACCAAGTATGGAAGCCGCGTCTTTACGGATCAAAGCAGATAATTGGATGAGTTATACATGGGACACGCTTGATGTTATATCAGCTCGTACACTGCATGTCTGACCTGAATGATGACGTCGAACTGCTCAGCACTTCATTAAATCTGAAGAAAGGATCATTAAAATTTTAGTGAACAGCCCCGGTGATTGGCCATACACGCGAAGCATCTGAAATTTTATAGAAAGTTTCCTGTGTGGGTTCTAGGTGCACCCTCGGGAACCTGTAAATGCCCAGTAGGATGTCCTTGACACTAACAAGCTGCCACCTTACTCTTATTGTGCGAATTTTAATTGAAAGTGTAAAACTGACTTGCTTCAGAAGAAAGATTACTAATTTCCACTAAGTTTGCCACTAAGGCATGCTCTCCTGGGCGTGAGACGGTGACTTGACCTTGAGTTAGTTTTAGTGAGGCGGAGATGCACAGCATCTGCTGTACACTCCCTGTCCCCACCAGCCCTGCACTCATGGGAGGACAGTCTAATTAGGGTGACCGCCATGATGATTTTGCTTTTGACGATTTCGGACAGCTTAGTACGATCCCTCTTTTCGCCAGGGACTAGTAGCAGTAGTAGTAGTAGTAGTAGTAGTAGTAGTAGTAGTAGTAGTAGTAGTAGTAGTAGTAGTAGTAGTAGTAGTAGTAGTAGTAGTAGTAGTAGTAGTATGAAGAGCAGTTTTTTCCCTCCACCTGTTCGAGAGTACTGGTGATGTAGGACTGTGAAACAAAATATTCTGGTTCATTTTACCAGTTAAATTGACGTCTGTACTTACAGGTCATGTTTAGGTAGTATTATGGGGCAAAACAAGGCAAGCATCCTGCAGCAGGGAGAGGGAAGGCAATGGACTAAGTTTCGCCCTTAGGATTATCTTGATGCATTACCGACATGATATCATTTGTAATTAATTTATTACTCGGGCATCGAATATCATTATTATTATTATTATTACCACCACCACCACCACCACCACCACCACCACCACCACCACCACCACCACCACCACCACCACCACGGTAATCTCTTAAGCATCAGGGGGTGGACGCAGCTTCCTACTTGACCGGGGTGAACTCGTGCGCAGCATGCTGGTATTCACGAGGATTGATATTGGGTACTCCACATCCATGAACAACTGTCGAAGCGAAAATGCCTCACTGTCAAAGATGTCAACTCAGACTTTCGAGGCAGGGAAAAGGCGAAACACATGCCATACATTGCTGAAGTAGATGAATGCTTGAACATCTCATGAAGGATTTCGAGGTTCTTTGTAGCTAACCAGAGTCATTTTGTGCCGAGGCGCCAGACAATCTTGCATTTTCCTCCCTGTGCACCATTCTTGAACTTACTGGTTTTTTTTCTGAATGGAAGAAACTCGGCTCAAGGTGACGCGCGTGACATGTGTTGGACTATGAGGTCGTTTGACATGTAATTATTAATTCTTCTATGACTCCTGTCTTGTCCTGATATCCAGAGTCTGGGATTGGCAATCGTGTCCTTCGCATCCACACCCAGTTCCCATTTTTGGATAACGACGACCCGAACGTCGCGAGCGACAACGCCCAGCCCCTGCTCCATGGAGTGGGCGCGACTGCACTGACTTGCGCGTGGATTAGTTTATGGGGAGATAGATTTGCGAAGCATCGGCCGTATGCCCTTTTCTTGCCCATGTCGACCCCGCTACAGGTCAATGTTAAGACGACCGGAGGTCAGCTGGAAGGCGAGGTGGCTGACAGGGCTAGGCGCCCCCCGTCTACGCGTGCCACGCACGAATCCCCCCTCCAGCTTCCCGTCATTAGGGGTGCTATGAAGACCAATCTCACTCTCAGTCCGAAGAAGGATGGAGTTCTCCGCCAGTTAGCAACCTTCCAAGCCACTACCTTTAGTGCGGCGTGACAGATTCCAGCGCGTTATGCTTATTATAGTGGAAAATGTACTAATGCGGTGTGGAGATTGATTCCGCAGTGCCGGCCTTACTCTCAACTTGCTCTTTCCTGCACTAGTGGACCGCCAGAGCCTGGCAATAAACTGGATGGGGCGCAGTGGCTGACGCAGTGTGAGGGTCTGCATCTGAGGCGTGTTTTACGGCGGTAGAATATGCTCTCACAGACCTAGCCCATCCGACGCCCGGTTTGGTCCACTGCATCTGCAGCGCAAGCCCTCTGTGGAGGATCATTTAGTTGCCACAAGTCACGCTGCCGCATGGGACAGGTATCAGACATTCTGCGGCACGACTCTGGATAGACCGACTTTTTCAGGTGTTTTCAGTGAATTTTTAATTATTCGTAGCCCCAGTTTAAAAAAAACGAAAACTAACCTTCAATTTGCAGTTAGTTCAACCACACTGATGGTGACAAGAACTAGCCCTGACTCACGAGGTGGGTATGGTGCCGATCTGCGCGAAATAGACCTTGGTTGGGTCCTCCGCACTTCACTCTCACCGCGATCACCGTGATCCGATAGAAAAGGAAGTCTAAGGCGACCGGTTATCTGTCTAGACACAATGACTGGCCATGCTGAACGGCCGATCTACGCTTGCCTGGCCTTGGTGGCTTTTGTCAGTAGCGTTTCAAGCCATGCCCGTTAACGCGTAACAATAGATTCAAGCGCGTCGCTGTTCCAACATCTCAGACTTCCTAGTATCTTTCTAGCCAGCGTCTCCGGCAGCGTCTATCGCAATTTGAGCTGGCACAAGGAGGTTACGGCCTCGTTCTGCAAACCAGCAATGATAGGGTGTAGGACCCCCAACTAACTTGAGGTAGCCCGTGGACCGTGTCATACACTGTATGCTGCTAAGGGGGTTTGACGGGTGCGGCAACACACAGGACGGAGAACAAGAAGACACAGATGAATTGCTGCCAAAGGTCTTCGCGTACGCTGACATTTGGCAAAGAAAGTGCGCTCGATAGTTAAGAAATAAACAAAAAGCAATTTTCAAAAAATAACGGCCTTTGAATAAAGCGCCGCTGATTGGTTTACATTTAATCAGGAAGAGGAGGAAGTTTCAAGCGATATGAACGGTGAATAATAAGTGATATTTACAGTCCTATTGAATTTTAGGGTATATTTATGGAGTTGTCATTTACCTGGTTGACGTCTACTTGTGGGTCCTACAACCTATCGTTGCCTGCAGACTTGCTGAGTTCAAATATCCCCAGAGAGCGGCCATGAAATTCTTGCGTCTATCCTGCTGGACTAGCACTCCTGCAGGTTAAAGAAAATTCGGCGAAAGTGATGTGGATGATGTTCTACAATCTGCCACATGTTTATCAACATTTTTGCATCCCAAGGTCTGTGTATTCTAAAATTTGAGGATACGTGTATG